GACGGTAGAGATCATAGATGAGAATACTGGAGTGGCTTGCCATTCCCTTCTCCAGGGGGTCTTCCCGACCTAGGGATCGAATCCAGGTCTCCTGCATTGCAGGCTGATTCTTTACCATCAGAGCCCCGAGAAAAGCCAGTATTGGCTACGAGTCTGCCAAGAGGAGTTTCCATGTTTCCTCTCGTGTCCCCCCAGAGCTCAGGCCTCCCACTGACTCCCCCACCAGGCCCATCTCCCCTTCATTTACCCTCAGGAGGAGCGCTCAGCTCTGCACTCCAGGAGCTCAGGGGCGTCTCCTGAGAGGCCTCTCTTCCTGAGCTGGAGCCCATGCTTTCTTTCCCTTTCCCTCTGTTCCCACCACATTGTCATTCGGTCACTAAGTTCTGTCCGACTCTCTGAGACCCCATGGACTGCAGCACGCCAGGCTTCCCTCTTCTTCACGATATCCCAGAGTGTGCTCAGATTCATGTCTATTGAGTCGGTGACGCCATCCAACCATCTCAACCTCTGTCACCCCCTTCTCCTCCTGCCCTCAGCCTTTCCCAGCATCAGGGCCTTTTCCAGTGAGTCAGCTCTTCACATCCGATGGCCAAAGTATTCCCACCACCTAGAGCCCTTTGAAAATCAAGCTCCGTGCCACCCGGAATCAGTGACAAGGCAGACACCAACATCAATGCTACCCATTGTATCAGTCTGGGTCCCACCAGGAGACTGAAATCACACCGGTTAGTTTACCAGAGAATTAATATAAGGAATTAGTAAGGAGGTGGTTCAGTCAGTATAGAATCTGCCTTCAGTGCAGGGGACACAAGTTGGATTCCTGGTGTGGGAAGATCTCCTGGAGAAGGAAAGGGCAGCCCATTCCAGTATTCTTGCTGGGAGACTTCCATGGACTGAGGAGCCTGGCCGGTTACATCCCATGGGGTCGCAGAGTCCAACAAGACGCGGGGTCCAGACTCTAGCATGGGATGTCTGGGCCTGAGAGATCACGGGGGGAGGGGTCGGCCAGTCAGAATCCTGGTTACTTGAAGGGAATCAGGGCTGTGACTAAGGGTTAGAGTGGGTGATGTGTGGTCACCAGGATTCCTGGGTCCTGAAGGGAAACACAGTTTGGGGGATGGGATTCCTGATTTCTCTGGGGACCATCAGACTACGGAACTCCTCAAGGGTTGAGGGTTTGGACTCCTCGAAGGGGCCTATCTTGGTCTTTCAAGAGTAGATGTAATAGGTTTCTAGTCCGCTTGCGGAGGAGGAGGTAGATGCCTTGATTGCTGATGAAGGTAGTCTCCTTCCCATTGAGGATTGTGACATAAAGGAGGGGAGTCTGGGTTCCCCAGGGAGCTGGAATTCTTGGGCTTCTGAGCCACAAAGAGTATAAGCTGTAGGTTTCCAGAGTTGGGGGATAGGCCTGCATCCAAAATAGGCTATGAATCTTCAATGGGGACAGGATGGGTCTGTGGAGTCTCAGAACTCCTGGCTTCCCAGAGGGCTGTGGTCCTTGCTTCTTACTTCATGGCTGGTGGAAGGTCTCAATGTGGAGCAGGGAATTGGGGTCTGTGTGAGAGAAGTGGAGAACCGTTGGTCCCTCTTAGGGAATAGGAATTCCATCTTCATTGCCCTAGGGCCAACAGCCCCTTGACAATCGGGATGACCTTTTACAAGTGGCTCAGCAAATGGCATCTACATGCAGAGTTATCGTGAGCATTCCGCATAGGCATGCCTGTACCTGCATTGTCTCTCTTGCACAGTAATAGACTTGCAACCCCTCCTGGAAGCCTGGAACACAGGGAGCTCAAACTTTAGTCTCACCCTTTGCCTTTGCTCAGGGTGCCCTCCTCTCTGACGCCATCTCTAACGTGGCCCTGTCTGACTTCTCCACCCTGCGCTTCCCTCTTCCAAATTCCATCAACCCTCCTGCCAAGGGGCCTTCTGCCTGGATCAAACCTCAGAAAGCAAGACCCGCTTTGTTTTCATGTGTCAGCGCCCACTGTGCTGATCTTGTTCACACAGCTGTGTGTCAGCACCCTTGGTGTCACGACTCTCTTTTGGAACAGACCCTGCTGGCGGAGCCTGACGAGGAGCAGCTGGAGATAGAGTTGTGCCCAGCATCCCACAGCATCCAGAGGCGCGGTGCAGGGCGTCCTGCTGCAGGCGCTGGAGGAGATGCGCGCGGACGCCGAGGCAGGGCTGGAGAGGGCGCGTGGTCCAGACTCTAGCATGAGATGTATGAGCCTGAGAGATCACGGGGCGAGGGGTCGGCCAGTCAGAATCCTGGGTTCTTGAAGGAAATGAGGGCTCTGACTTGGGGTTGGAGTGGGTGATGTCTGGTGACCAGGATTCCCGGGTCCTGAAGGGAAACAGCGTTTGGGGGACGGGATTCCTGATTTCTCTGGGGACCATCAGACTATGGAACTCCTCAAGGGAGTTGAGGGTTTGGACTCCTGGACAGGGCGTATCTTGCTCTCTCAAGAGTAGATGTAATAGGTTTCTAGTCCTCCTGTGGAGGAGGTGGATGCCGTGATTGCTGATGAAGGCGGTCTCCTTCCCATTGGGGATTGTGACATGAAGGAGGGGAGTCTGGGTTCCCCAGGGAGCTGGAATCCTTGGGCTTCTGAGCCACAAAGGGTATAAGCTGTAGGTTTCCGGGGTTGGGGGATAGGCCTGCATCCAAAATAGGCTTTGAATCTTCAATGGGGGAAAGGATGGTTCTCTGGAGTCTCAGAATTCCTAGCTCCCCAGAAGGCTGTGGTCCTTGCTTCTTCATTCATGGCTGGTGGAAGGTCTCAATGTGGAGCAGGGGATTGGGGTCTGTGTGAGAGAAATGAAGACCCTTTGGTCCCTCTTGAGGAATAGGAATTCCATCTTCATTGGCCTAGGGCCAGACAGCCCCTTAACAATTGGGGTGGCCTTTTACAAGTGGCTCAGCAAATGAGAGCCACTCTACATGCAGAGTTATTGTGAGCATTCCACGTAGGCATGCCTGTACCTGCATTTTCTCTCTTGCACAGTAATAGACTTGCAACCCCTCCTGGAAGCCTGGAACACGGGGAGCTCAAACTTTAGTCTCACCCTTTGCCTTTGCTCAGGGTGCCCTCCTCTCTGACGCCGTCTCTGACTTGGCCCTGTCTGACTTCTCCACCTTGCGCTTCCCTCTTCCAAATTCCGTCAACCCTCCTGCCAAGGGGCCTCCTGCCTGGATCAACTCACAGAAAGCAAGACCCGCTTTGTTTTCATGTGTCAGCGCCCACTGTGCTGATCTTGTTCACACAGCTATGTTGGCACCCTTGGGTGTCACGGCTCTCTTTTGGAACAGTTGCCTTTTAAATCATGACTTTTCAAAGGGTTGAATTTTAGGCTCTGGAGGCAGCAAGTTGGTAGCAAGGCATCTGTCTCTGGGAGCATCCAAACAGAAAAGACAGAAGACTGCGTTGTGCAGGGATAACTTGCTGTCCTCAGGGTGAGTCTACGGGGCACCTGCATGCTGTCAGGCCCTTGAAGGCAGAAATTCACAGAAACGAGATGAATCTTGGTGTTGCCCCTGGCAGAAGCAGAGGAGGTCCAAAAGCCTCCTCAGCTTAGCTGAATTTCCTACTTGTCTGGATAACGATAAATTTGTGTCCATTGAGGTGAGGAACCATAAAGCCCGGAAAATCAACGGTGGCTTTGCCTGTGATATTTCTTGGAGGAGCGAATACAAAAGTAGAAATTCTGTTGTGTATCTGTTCTTTGGGATTTCAAGGGGGTGGAAGATGCTTGGGATTCTGTCAGCTGGAAGCCTAGACTTCTGGGTCTGAGGGAGGAGGGCTGGAGGGTGAGGACTCCAGGGTCCCTGGAGAGGAGGGATGGTGGGGTTGTGTGCAGGATAGAATTCCTGCACACCCCCAAACCTCCGCAGGGACCTTTGGTGCACTTGGGTTTTGTGCTCTTGTCATCTGCCATGAGAAGGACGTTAACCAGGGAGTCACAGATCCAGAAGACTCTGGAATCCTACAGAGGTGAACTAGAACCCCCCTCCCAGACTGGAACCAAACCGACCAGAGCACAGCCAGAAACAGAGCTAACCCAGATATCTACAAACCCATAGGAAGAAGAGTGTTTCTTTTTACAAGTCTTAACTGGCACATGGTTTGTTATACAACAATACTACAGCATTAACAGACTTAACAACTTTGTTGTTTTAAACCACTGAGTTTAGGGACTGGTTTGTTACTGTAGCATAACCCAGACTGTCCTGATAGATGCCAAAGTCCAGGGGCTGCCAAACATGGCCGCTGAGGAAGTGGCAGCTATTAGGATGGTAACTCTGGCCAGACACACTGTCCCAGAATCCAGGCTGCCTTAAAGGCGCTAGTGCAGGGTGCTCAGCCACTCAGTGGGGTCTGACTCTTTGTGACTCCGTGGAGTGTAGCCTGTCAGCCTCCTCTGTCCGTGGATTCTCCAGGCAAAGATCATGGAGTGGGTTGCCATGCCCTTCTCCAGGGGATCTTCCTGACCCAGGAATCGAACCACGTCTCCCACATTGGCAGGCAGATTCTTTCCCGTCTGAGCCACCAGGGAAGCCCCTTAAATATGCTAGGCACTGCACTAAGTCCTTTTCTCGCTTTCTTTCATTGGACTCTTAAGACAGCCCTTTGAGGTTATAGCTATTATCTCCGCATTTTACAAACATGAACTCTCAGGCAAAAACAGGTTAACTAGGAGAGGTGATCATGGACTCTGGAGTCTGACCCTCCCAGCTGTTTGACTGAAGACAAGTGATACCACAATCCATGCCTCAGTGTGTTCTTCTATAAAATGGGGGCAATACATAGAACTTCACAGAGATGTGATTATGAAATGAGGTACTACATGGAAAACACTTAGCATGGGGACCAGGCAGGAAGTAATCCCTTAAGAAAAGGTAGCATCTTCCATTTCTTTCTTCCATAGAGAGTGTTCCCAAGGTTCCCCTGCTTTTCTCATCCCATCTCCCCGAAATGCATCACATCGCGAAGACTCAGGATTGCTCTGTTAACTTGTTTAATTTATAGATACATGGGAACTGTAGAAATTTCTAGAAACACAGCTGAGAATGAATGGAGACCAAACACCACATGGGCCTCAGTTCTTCACTCAGCCTTGCCAGAAACCTGGGAGCTTGGACGACAGCTGGTTTTCTTGATGGTCAACAAACGAGAGCCTGAGGGCACCAGGGTCCCAGGCTTGCTGTGGCAGGTGGTCTCCGTACCACAGCCCTGGGCAGCAAATTTGATACCTGCAGGAGGGGATTATAGAGTGCAGTCAGGATCTCCAATGCCTCCCTCCTCCTAGTCCAGGGTCACGTGCCCCAGCCACCTTCTCCCCCAGATCTTTGGAGCCTCTCTCTCCCTTAGAATCTGGAAGAATGAGGCTCCAGTTCTGGGACCTTCTGGGAACACTGTGCCCTCCTCCTGAATTCCAGGTGCCCCTTACCAGGCTGTGCGAGGCCAGACACGGCGACACAGTGGGTTTCCTCACCAACGCAGACTGCTTCATGAGTCGAAGTGCATGTTTCCTTAAAGGCAGCAATGCAGGAAGGACACCGAAGGCCATTCTCTGTGTGGTTTCTCACAAACGCTGAACAGGAGGGTGGAGGGGAAGGTAATTGGAGACGTTAGTCCCTTTCCCACCATCACAGCCACTCAGGGCACACCAGTTGCTAACGCACGCTGCACTTCAGAAAACAGTATTTGACCGCACTGGATCTTCACTGCGGCCCGAGGGATCCAGTTCCCTGACCAGGGATCAAACCCCTGCATAGAGCGCATGGAGACTTAGTCAGTGGACCAGCAGGGAAGTCCCTGGACACTGCAGTTTACAGAAGAAGAAACCAAGGCTCAGCGCAAGGAGGATGCTCATCCCTGGTTACAGCCCAGGTCAGGAACGGGTGCTCACAGGTGGCCCTGGCAGGGGAAGGTGGGCAGGGAGGGGCTCCAGCTGTGGGGCTCAGCCGGGGCTTACCGGGCAGCGGGTCCTGGTTGCACCCATCGTTCTTGCAGCAGCGCCTCGTGGAGCCCATGTAGTTCTCAGTGTTCATGGTGATGGTGAAGGATCCTGAGTCACACTCGCTGGATTTCGCACACCCCTTGTAGCTGGTCACCNAATATATTATTGTCTGTCTTACCCAGTGGCTCTGAAAATGTTTTGGTTCATAGACCTTTTTGCAACTTAGAGAGAAGCTGAGAATTCTCCTCCCAGGAATTATACACAAACCACAGATTTTGTGAGTTATTTTTGGACTTTAAATATCTCATAGTTCCCTAATGTAGTACATCATACTAATGAGAGCTAACAGTTTCTTCACAGTTACAACTGTTTGGGAATACCCTGGTGGGCCAGTGGTTAGGTTTCCACTCCATGCCACGAGGCCTAGGTTGAAGGCCCAACTTGGGAAAATGCCCCCCACCCCCCCAAAAAAACAAAACTGCCAGTCAGCATTCTAAATGCCTCATATGGGTTAGTTCACGGAATCCTCATAAAAATCCCATGACCTCAAATCTATTATTATCCCCTTGTTTGATGAAGAAACTAGGCCCGGAGAGATTATGAAATTTGCCTAGAGCCAGTATTTTAAACAGAGAGAGATGCAGGTGGCTGACAAGTTAATCTCAGGTGGAATTCAAGTCCCCATCTCTCCCTCTTACTCTCCCTGTGACCTCAGGCAAATGGTTTCATTTCTCAGAAGCTGTTTTCTCATCTGTCCATGGAAGATCATGTGATCCGAGCCCTGGGTTACCTTGAAAATCTGGTGACATAATGTTTGCAAAAGTGCACTGTCACCACACAGGTGTTTGTGTAAAGGGGGGATGCACGTGTGTATTAGTGCATGATCCTGCTGGGCTCTTTTATGATCAGGAGCATCCCCTTTCATTCTGCAGCGCTGTTGGAGTGGGAGCAAGGAGAGACAGGAAGCGGGGAGTGAGAGAGCCAGAAGAACCAAACAAGCCTCCGGCTTCTCTGGCCTGGGAGACCGAGGGGGACGTGGCCTCTGTCACTGAAATGCAGGCCCTAGAGCAGGGGTGCAGCCTGAGACGGTCCCGCTGGTTGGGATGTCCAGGTTTGCTGTGACTTTGGGACACTCAAGGAACAGTATCCAAGGGACAGCCGGGATGGGCCTGGAGCCGGGGCAGAGCTGTAGGAGTATCAGCACAGAGAAAGACCCTGAGACTTGAGAGCGGATGGATTCATCTGTTCTTCATTCATAGCAGCACCTTCTGTGGGCCCCGCACTGTTGTAGGCACACAGTGCCGCAGACATCAGAAGACAGGCATATCAGACCTGTGGGGATTTTATATTGGCAAGGAAAGACTGACAGATCAGTAAGTCAAATGTATGTCAGATGCTGCGTGCTGGGGAGAAAATTACATGGTTAGGAGGAATGAGGAATGCCTCCAGTGGGAGAGGAGTCAGTGGAATGGGGTTTTTGACTTTAAAAAATTTTATTTATTTATTTGGCTGAGTTGGGTCTTAGTGGTGGCATGCAGTATCCTTTAGTTGTTGGACGTGGGATCTAGATCCCTGACCAGAGATGGAACTTGNATGGAACTTGGGTCCCTGCATTGGGAGTGTGTAGTCTCAGACTCTGAACTGCCAGGGAAGTCCCAAAATGTTGAGGTTTTACCACCAGGATTGAAATTTTGGAGTTAGAAAGCCCTGTTGGCTTGTAGTCAGTGAGTTGGGTATGAATTTCTCTGCCAGTCATTCACAGTGTGTGACATGTGAGCCATTGATTTTCCTGTCTGTGAGCTGTGCCCTGTGGCCGTGGTATTTATGTGCATGAATCCTACATAGGTTTATCATCCCCAATTTACAGACGAGGAAACTGAGGCTCCAAAAGCTGAGTGGACAAGGTGCTATAGCTAGTGTGCAGCAGAGCTGGGCTCAAGCTCAGGAACCCGTAGTGAACAAAACCAGGCCCCTATCCTCAGGGAGCATCCACAGAGTCCTATGTGATTGCAGGCAGGGATGACAGATAGGCGGTTTGTCATAGTGCCATCAAGGAGAGCTTGTGGTGCCAGGTTAGAAGCCCGTCCATCAGAGTCTGTAGGAGCCAGGAACACGGGGTCTAACATATCGAGTGTACGTCTGCAGTCTGTTCCACCTTACTGCTGAGAAGTTTCACTGCAATCGTAGATCTCAACTTGTTGACTGGCCTCTGGACTGTTGCCACTTTTTGGTGGCATTTTTTGTCTGCACCTCGAGGCTCTCAGGATCTTAGTTCTCCAAGCACAGATTGAACCCAGACCCCAGCAGTGAAAGTGAAAAGCCCTCAACACTAGACTGCCCAGGAAGGCCCCACCGCTTTTTGACTATTATGAACACAGCTGCTGTGAACCTTCTTGTACAAGCCTCTGTAGAGAGCTTTCTTTGGGATAACTATCTAAAAGAGTGAAATTGCAGAATCCCATGGACAGTGGAGCCCAGTGGGCTACAGTCCGTGGGGTCGCAAAGAGTTGGACATGACTGGCCAACTGAGTGTGCATGTGTGCACGCGCGCACGCACACACACACACACACCTGCATCCTAACACACACATACACACGCGCGCACGCACACACACGCTCGCACGTTGTCTGCATCCTAATCCCCAGAACCTGTACATGTGTCCTTTACATGGATAAAGGGACTTTGTGAGGATTTTTTAAAAATATTTATTAGGCCACATTGAGTCTCAGTTGGGGCATGCGGGATCTTCTAGATTTGTTGCAGTGTGTGGAATCTTTTAGCTGTAGCATGTGAACTCTTAGCTGCAGCTTGTGGGATCTAGTTCCCTGACCAGGGTTCAAACGCAAACACTCTGTATTGGGAGGGCAGAGTTTTAGCCACTGGACCAGCAGGAAGTCCCTGTAAGGATCTCGAGGTGGGCAGATGGGCCTGGATGATTTGGGGGGAAGCAGTGTTATCACAGGGGTCCTTATCAGGGGAGGAGGGTGACTGGAGAACCAGTCAGAGGAGCTGTGGGGATGGAAGCAGAGGCTGGAGTGATGCCACTGCTGGCTCTGGAGACGGAGGAAGGGGCCGCCGCCGAGGAGGGCAGGGACTCCAGGAGCTGGAGAGAAGACGAGGAAACGATTCTCCCCAAGAATGTCCAGAAGGAACGCAGCCCAGCTGACGCTGGCTGTAGCCTGGCCTCGTGACCTCTGGGAAGTTACACAGGTGCTTCCCGTCTCAATCGCTCCCTGTGAAATGGAGATCAAAATAGCTCCTGGCTCCCAGAGGTGTCGACATGTCTTACTGGGATTATGGGTCTGCCACACCGTTTACACTTGGGTGCCGCCACAGTGGCGTGCATTGTGATGGTTAGCATCCTGTGTCCCGTCAACTCCTTTCAGAAGTGGGGAGCACCCCCCTTCACTCATGAGGAAACTGCGGCTCAGAGAGGTTTTATGTCACCCAGGGCTGCACAGCTTGGCAGTGCCAGGGCTAGATTTGAACTCAGGCTGGCCTCCCCACAAGCCCAGGCTCCTCCCTCTGCTATAGGGACATTCCTGTCTGTAGCAGTGTGCCAGCAGTATCTCCAGGCCACCGCCCGGCTGGGGGGTGACATTGCAGATCAATGTTCCTGGCTGTGTGGGGTGGCGGACTAGGAACCTTTGGGGGTCATAGTCACTTGTCATTCTGTGAGCCAAATAAAATAGCCCCAGAAACTTTCCAGGTGGTCCAGTGGTTAAGAATCCTTCCTGCAATGCAGGGGATACAGGTTTGATCCCTGGTCAGGGAACTAAGATCCCAGTTGCCTTGGAGCAACTAAGCTCTGTCACTCAAACGAAGGATCCTGCAGCAAAGATCCCGAGTGTCACAACTGAGATCCGAGGTAGCCAAATAAATAATAATAATAAAAGCCCCAGGATGGAAAATAGGAGATTGCTTCAGCCCCTGTAGCTGCCTTCCACCCCCACATGACTTTCTATGCGTTTAAGTCAGATGGGACTGGCAGAAACTTTGGGGGAAGACTTCCTACAGTCAGCTCGTATTTTTGACTGTGCCAGGTCTTCATCGCTTTTGCGTGGCCTTCCTCTAGTTGCATTGAGCAGGAGCTACTCTTTAATTGCAGTGTATGGGCTTCTCATTGCAGTGGCTTCTCTTGTTTTGGAGCATGGGACACAGGCTTCAGTAGTTACGGCACATGGGCTCAGTAGTTGCAGCTCAAGGGCTCTAGAGCACAGGCTCAGTAGTTTTGGCTCATGGGCCTAGTTGCTCCGTGGCATGTGGAATCTTCCCGAACTAGGGGTCAAACCCCTGTCCCCTGCACTGGCAGGCGAACTCTTATACCCCGAGCCACCATCTCTTTCCTTCTTTCAACAAATAATCATCAAGCAGTGGCTGATAACACTTCTTGCCTGGTAGCCACAGGGTGCCTGCTGCATGCCATGCCGTGTGAATGTGGTGTTTATGTGCATAATCCTACAGAAGGTGATCATCCCCACTTTACAGATGAGGAAACTGAGGCTCCAGGAGCTGAGCTGACAAGGCCCTATAGCTAGGGTGTGGCGGAGATGGGACTCAAACCTGGAGTCCGTGGTGAGCAAAACCAGACCAGGCCCCTACCCTCAGGGAGCATCCATGGGATCCTGTGTGCCCTTTGCCTGCATAGCACCGCCAAGGAGAACTCCGGGGTGCTGGGTTAGAAGCTGGTCAGGCAGATTCTGGTGGAGCCGGGAACGTGGGTTCTATCGTGTAGGCAATCGGTCAGTGTCTGTTTTCCAACTCTGACTCCACATCCTGTGCTGTGTGCAGGGGACACGGGGGCAGCCTGCAGCCCTGCCCCCTCTGTCACCGAATTGACTTGGCAAAGAGACGAGGTGGCCCGGATGGGGGTTGTCCGTCTTCCGAGGTCCCACAGGGAAGCCGGGCAGGGGGCAGGGCAGAACGGCACTGACCTGGGCCTTGCCTCCCCTGCAGTTGGAGAAGGAGGAACAGATCCACAGCGTGGACATCGGGAATGACGGCTCGGCCTTCGTGGAGGTGCTGGTGGGCAGCTCGGCCGGAGGCACCGGGGAGCAGGACTATGAGGTAAGCTGGGCCTTGAGGTGGGCCCCCTGCTGATCTGTGCCCCAGATGCTCCCGTTGCCGCCCCAGGGTTTCCTAGCCCCT